AGTATATTCACACTCACACAAGCTTGCTGATAATTAAATGACTTGTGATGTGGGTTGATAGTTGTGCGCATTGACAGACCATTAAGGAGGAGCCCATCTGCATGTGTGGCACTAGGTCACATGTCAGGGCAGATATGTTGACAATGATGTTATTCTCCTTTGGATTCAAAATACAGTGATACTCGAGATATGTGTGGAAAATCTTAGTAAAGATAATTTGATCAAAGGAAAACGTCAAATTGTGGACACATATGGAGCAAAACTATTACTAAGCCTTGAACGTCTTTACATTAAGTCACATGACACAATTTTAAATGGTAAACAAAGAAGCAAGTGCATAACGTTGAAATTGTATGAAAATGACACAAATTTTAATAATATATAACGTGGTTTATATTTGTGTTTAATCTACTAACCCATGACACAATTCAGTGCAACAACTTCATTTAGAAGTCATCTAATTAGTAAACACAGTCAAACTGTGTAACTTAAACTCATAAATCCAGATGCTCTGTGAAGCATCAGAGGTTTGCTAGCAGAGCTGAATAGTGGCTAGTTGCATTTAGTTGGGTGACTTTCTACCATGAATTGGATGACAAAAGTCTTCAGTCTGATGCATGGTCTGAACTTTCTTGGAGGACAATTTTAGACTTCATAATTCATTTTATTTGTTGTTTTGTTTATTTATGTTGGATATTTAACATAAATTTAACACATTTAACACAGGTCCAGTGTTAAATGTTCATTGGAATTTAAAGATTATTGATCTTTGAGAATGTGTTCTTGGATTACGCCATTGCCATTATATTACTTGAAAACGCTATTACAGCTTGTCGCAAAAACTAATAGAACTAAAAACCTAAATGTAAAATCGTTGACAAAAATTTCCCAAGCTTGTCGCAGCCTGAAAGACGCTGACATCTCTTCTGATGGCTCATAGATTATGAACACTAACGCTATAGCTAAATATCTCATTTAGCTGTTTACATCAGCTATGATTTTTTTTAAATTACTTATCTCGTGAACAAGCTGATTCACCTGTGATTTTAATTCAATTTCCTGTTTAATGGAAACACCGCAATTGCAAACTTTTTTTTTTTTTTTACAAAGCGTTCACAAAGATTTGCGCACATTTGTAATGGAAACCTAACTATGGGGTCACATACAATCACCATTTAGGGGTTTGTGGTTGTACTGTGACAAAATGCTAAAAAGTTGAAAGTGTGTGAAAACTTTACGAGGAACTAATCTTTTAAAGTATGCCAATTAGATTTTTAAATTTGCATCTTTACCTACACCAAAAAAATCTTTTCTACCATAAAATGAATTTAATCTGGTTCATTATAAATCGGTGTGTTGTGGAGTTGCTATAATGTGGATCCCGTGTCCTGAAAGTTAACCATGAATTCTTCATCGACCTTACCCTCCAATAACTCATCCAGGCTGGTGATCTTCCTGCCCCCATCCACCGTGTACAACATCCGGACTCCCTGGGGAAGGTTGACGTTGTCCGACAGGGACCGCGTCAGCTCCATGAGCAGCGCACCCAGGGACCGGAACCGGTCATTGGACACGGCGTACACCAAACCTTTGAAATATTTGTCCCCGTTGCGATAAAAGCGCACTTTGCGGGCTTTTTTCTCGGAGGTGAGAGACTGCAGGGTGCGCGTGCGATAGAAGCTGCAGTGCGTGCTGTGCGCCGGGCTGGGCACGAGACCGCCGCCTTTGGACTTGGTGTGAGACCCAGTCCCTGAGTTGGTCTTTGGAGACCGCTGGGTCCTGCCTCGCTCCTCAAAGTGCTCAAATTCGATACCTCTGCTCAGAGACATCCCGTTTCCGCCACTTTCTGCCTGTCCAGCAGAAATGATAAACTTTTACCCTGAAAGTGGAGGGAGCCCGTTTCGCTTAGTGCAAAGTCAGCTTACACGGTGCGTCTATCAGCAGCCGTGCAGGTTATTGAAAGTCTGCTGTATGATGAATGACAGGTCCGACGGTGTGATTTCTTTAACCCGTAAAAATGCAACGGCACCAAACCGAGGCTTTTTCTTTCTCCTTTAAATAAAATATGCGTCAAACAGTGCGGGTCCGTAGTTAGCAGACAGATTTCTGTGAAATAAACAGAACTTCACAAAAAGGAAAGGTGCGCAGCAGAAGTGAAACATTCGGGATATCTTTTCCTCGCATCCTGTCCGGCTTACTATCTGAACAGCCTGTCAGATCAATAATGATACGGAGGAGGAGGAGGAGTCGTTTCAGCCTCGGGGTCCTAATGCCCCTTAATGCAGCATAAGAAATATCTGGGGTCTAAAATAATAATAATTATTATTCGCAATGTTAAAAAAAATACAAGATTTACTTGTAGATAAATATGAGTGATGCAAAATTTAGCACATTTCTGTATTTGTGACAGTCAAAAAGGTCACAAATACATTTTTGACTTTTTTGTTTTAGTTCAGACTTTAAGAGAAAAACTTTATTTTAGGATCTGATTTATTTTAAACCATCATCAATGATATTCAAAGCAATCAAATATTTAACATGAAATTAAGAAATTGTCAGTAAGAGATGTATGAGTGTAGCTCAATTTAAAAATACTGTCAGAAAATCATGGAAAAGTATGGGTTCCACTTTTAGGGATGGAATTACGAAATGGTCTTAAAATATGCATCTATGCAAAGTAAAACAATGAATCAGTTTAAATGAGATCCATGATTAGTTGTAGCAATAATATGATAAACATTTATTACAGAAATAAAAGAAATTATGTACATACTTATGTACATACGTAACTTTTACAAGTTCGTGTTTATTTATATTCTGAAAAGATAAAAGTATATAAACACACTTCATAAATGACTATTCGTTTGCAAACAGTTAAAAAGAAATATATATGATTTAAAAGGTTATTAAAAGAAACAGCTAGCAGTTTAGTAAATACTAAAACATTTGTTATTTCATCCAGACATGGGAAAGCAGAATACCACTGTGTTTAAGATATCCTGCTTCAAATGGAAATGCCAGTGGTTGTGGATGCATTGTTTCAGCTGCGTTTCCGGGAGGAAGCCCTGGAGGAACCTAATATGAATTGTCTTCCTCCAGCAGAGGGAAATCCTGTACAGAACAACAAAGTAAACCTCATGATAAAAGTTTTATAAAGTGTAAATAAATGTTAACTGCACAACGTAATCCTTTTAGGGGGTTTTGTTCTACTGCTGTCTACTATTGTCCAGCTGGAGTACTAATGGAGCTTTTATAAATTACTTCCAAACTGTGTCCAGTTCGAAGTGAATGACACAAATGAGTATTAGTGGCAAAGATACAGACTGAGAACAGGATTTACAAGGCACATGGGGCTATTTTAAGCACATATCAATATGTTACTAACAGTAATAGTATTGTACCTTTTTAAACTAATGGTGGGAATTTCTGAACTGACATAAGTTCCAATGTTAATTAAAAAAAAAAAAAAAAAAAAAACATGTATGAGAAATATCCAGAACACAGATATAAGGAGTGGCATCAGTTGCCAGTTTGAAAAGTTTTCAGAGAGGAAGATAAATCTCTCTCGCCCTCTGGTGTTTAAATAGTAGGGATGCAAAACTTAAAATGTAATTTTTTTAATACATATTTTTTACAATATAAAATAAAAACAGTAAAAATGTGAAACCAAAAACAAATAGAAAAAGAACAGCATTTGGTGAATGAAGGAAAGTGATCTAAAAACTAAACACATCTGTCGGCCTTTTCTTCCCCAAGCAATACATTTAATCTGGAAACAAAAACAAAACAAAACAAACAAACAAACAAACAAACAAACAAACAAACAAACAAACAAACAAACAACTGTCAGTTCCTACAAAAAGTATTCAACCCCTGGATGTTTTACCCTGGATGTTTTACCCTGGATGTTTTATTAGCTTTTACAAGTCTGATATAAGAACAGAATTGGTACTGTAAGCTTAACAACTCACTTAATTTTGATCAAACAGTAGACATACACATTAGACAGACAATAAGAATTTATTGAAATAAAAACTGGTAATAATTTAAATATGAGATTATTTTGGATGAAAGCTGGATCTGACCTAACCAAGGCACAGTGAAAAATAAAAACTATTTTATTTGGTGGAAAAAATAAAAAAGTGCCTTGGTGAAAAAGGCACAGTGAAAACAACATCTCACCTGAAAATGCATCTAAAACTCAACAAGTTTAACTAAAATAATCATAAAATAACTTTAAATCAAAATGAGCAGATTTATGATCAAGGAAAAATGATTTGAAGGAGAGCAAAGTTCTCATTATTGTTTTAAATGAGAAAAAAGTTGAAAAACTAAACTGCATGTCAGTTAAAAATGGTAAAATTCATTAGCCAACAAATTTAATCAATTTAATTTCCCCCTGGGATCAATATATTATTGAAATTCATAGAAATGGCATAAATATGCTTGATCAACTCTGATCCATGAAGATGCTTTTAGTTTAGTTGGAAATTACTTTAAATCTTTTAAAACTGATCAAACATTGATGTTCAAAGATCTAGAATTATCTGCTTTTATTGACCATTTATGAATTTTTACCGGATGTTCTACAATAACTGTAATGCCTCAGTTAAGTTAGCAGATGTTTGTTTCAAAAGATTTCATCTGAAAAGATGACTTCATCTAGGCTGTGAGGCGCCTACCTACCTGTTTCTTTCTGCAATGAAAAACTGGTACATAACTTACTGGACAACAATTTGCAACTGTTAAGACCTTTTGGACAAAGTTTCTAGTTCAGACTCTTATTTTTTTTTTTGTTGAGGTACCTTAAGAAGAAAACTTAATGGAGAGAATATAGTTTTATTTATTTATTTATTTATTTATTTATTTATTTATTTATTTATTTATTTATTTATTTATTTATTTATTTATTTATTTATTTATTTATGAATCTGTTTAGCATTTGGCATCCCGAGCCACACTCCAGTCCGATAGGTGGCGGTAATGACCCAAAACTTTACTTGCACTCCGACAAGAAGAAGAAGAAGAAGAAGAAGCTTCATCGAACTGGAGGGATTTTCAGAGCGGTGCATTGCGGCTAACACAGCTAGCAGGAGCAACATCAATCTACAGCAAACTGCTTTGTGTTTACAAAGAGCACCACTAAGGTAATGTCTTATTACTTCCAGGTTTTGTTTTATAAGAATTCCCTAGCATGTTGTGCTAGGGAACAACATGCTATGGGTGGCCGTTAACTTGTCAGTTTAAACTGTAACTCATGTTTATGAGTACTTTACTAGAAAAACAACTCCAGTAGAGCAACGCAGCAAAAACAAAATAGCTGCTAAATCAGAGAACTTAGCTACGTTTTAGCTCTTAAATGTGTGGCTTTTCTTCTAGTTTGTTAAAGAAGTTGGCTTATGGCACTTGAGTTTTTATGCACTGGTAATTCCTTTTTAAGAATATGTGGTTGTCTCAGTGGATAAATACGAAGACTAAACATATATAGCAATTTTTCTGTCTTTTCATTTTGAGGTTGAGGTTAGATTTAACAGGTTAACTTTAGCTGAGTTCTTGTAAAATATTTTGCATAATTATCCTAAAGTTGCTAAATCAGATTAGGTAAGCCTTAATATTTATGGTTTTTTTCTGTTCATCCCACAACAACCTTCTGCTTCTGTGTATAAAGCTGTTTAACTATTGACAGTATAGCAGTAACCTTCTGCTTCAATATGGATTATTAATTTGTTATAATTTAAAAACCTACACCAAGCAAAGCAACGAAACCAGAATGTTTTTTGTTGGTAGTCATGTGAGGAAGAAACAAAGTACCAATACATTATTTGGACACCAGAACAGAAGAAATGTTTGGCAAAAACCAAAACTGTCAGAATATTTTGACATTTTGTTATTTTTATTTTTCCCACAATTTTGTTGATAATAAAAGGAGGGTAGAAAAGTTAAATAACTATAATAAAACATTAATTCTAACTCAAAGGAAAACCTCCATGTATGCACACATCAACACCTCTGGCTTACAGAAAAGTGTCCAATATATTTGTTTTCTTTGTCAAACTTAGTGGTGCAACATATATTCAGGTGTGTTAAAAAACAAATCAGTTTTAAAAATCACTTAAGGATTACTGCGATGGTATTTCAAGATTACCATAAAATCCATGTGTGTGTTTTTTTTTGGTATCACTGTTATGATGATTTTCACTCATATTTTTTGCCTCTTATTAGCATCGTATTACACCTCGGACATTTCAAATGGATCTGGAAGATGACACCACTATTTTAACGACCCTGAAGTCCTTTAATACTTTCATTAGTCACCATGAGCATCCACAGCGTCCGTCAGAGCAGGCGGGGAGCGGGAACCTGCAGCCTCACTATAAACGCAGCATGGAGGTACGAAGAAATCATTTGCGTTGAGCTAAACTTATCAAAACCACTAATTCGCCTTAACATTGGCTAGTTGGATTTTATTTTATGTATTTTTATTTTTAGTTTTTGGAAGCAGCAGAGAGGGTTCACTCTCAGCACCGCTACCTGCAGCTGGACCAGGAGAAGAAGCAGATGGAGCTGAGTCACAAACGAGCTCGGTTCGAACTTGAGAAGGCGGCTTCTGAAAACGCTAGAAACCTGGAGGTACGAGACAAGTTCAGTGTCTATTAGAGACGCATCGATGTTTTGATATCAATGTTTGTATCAGTCTCGATATTGGAAAAAATTCCAGATTGGGCATCTGACCATCTGGAATCTGTAAGGACAGATCTATTCAGTCTAATTCTACTCTGTGTGCTCTGAGTGACATCATGCTTTATTTATTTTACTTTATATTTAAAATTCCTAATTGCATTCATTGAACCATTTGGAAGAAGGTTTGTTGTTTTAATTGCTACATGTTTGACCAAGATAGTCAACCTATTGTTATTGTCAGCTTTAGGTTTTTTTTATTATTTATCTTATATTGGCTGTTCTTCTCCTAATGACACTGACTGAAAAAATTAAAGACGTTTGACCAAGCTGGTGAAGCTAGTGGTGTATTTCAGTGTTCTGTATTGGTACAGTTATCAAATAAATGTGTAATTCAGTACATTTATATCTGTGTTTTAAAAAAGAAATAGTTTAAATTCATTCAGCTCTGTTTTTTTCTGTATGGGATTAGTATCCCATGCAGATAAACTTTAGTTGCAGCTCAAAGAAGAGTTATAATTAGTTCTTAATTTTCACAAAAGTACAACAAAATATAAAACTTTAAGTCCACATTGCTCTCCTCTACATCAAGCACAGGCATATTTGCTTCTAGTTCATAGTATTTGCTGCAAGTTTTTACTTTTGCTGCAGGTTTTTACTTTTGCCTGCCAACTCTGTCGTCACAAGTAGTACCTAGTTTTTATTTATTTACTTTTTTAAATATTGCAGCATGAAGTTGACTGCAACCAGGAACTTTTGGGGCGAATAAAAACATTAGAGGAGAGAGCGAAAGAAGCACGGAAGAACCTGTCAGAGCAGGTGGAAGCAAACGGTTCTCTTCGTAAGAACCTGGACGGCCTCAACAAGAAGCTGGACGAGCGAGACACCAAACTGATGACAGCCGACCAGGTTACACACACACACAGAATAAATTTTAGATTTTTGATCTCTCTTGATCTCCATCTTTGAATTGCTCGCTGTATCCAGACCATCATGTCTCTGAGAGATGAAATCAGAGACCTTTGCCAGAAGATTCAAACCCAAGATGCAACTATTTCTGCCCAAACTCTGGACAACCAGGAGCTGCAAGAACAGCTGGACTTACAGCGCAGGTCCAGAGATCCTTCCAGTTTCATCCTGGACATCCTGCTCCTCCACACTGAGCAAAATGTTAATCACACACAATTCTTCTTTTTTTCCCCAGGAAGTATTTAGAAGCTTCTCAGCTTTGCCAAAGCCTCCAAGCAGAACAGTCTTCTTGTTCAGAGCACATCATCAAAATCAAGGTACATTGCACTTACACACACACTTTATCCAACTTTTTACTTTTACATTACATGAGTTCCAAAACTTTCTGTTAAAAATAAAGAAAAAGAAAGTATCTAGCATGATTAATGCCCACCAAGTCAATGCTTTCTAGAAGCAGCTCTGCAGACAAAAGCCCAAAACGGATCAGCTGTATTTATGTTGAGATAAATTAGTCACAGATGGACATGATTACACTGATTCATTTACTACTACAGGCAACTTGTCAGACTGGTAATGAGAAATAAATACAAAAATTATTAAATTTAATAGAAAAACCACATATCATTAACCCACAATTTCAAAATTAATTTTCTTTTTGTTGGCTTATTTACATAAAATCCCTGTAATAAGTGATATTTTCAGATTTTACATGACCAACATGTCAAGGTTCAAGTGATAGAAATACTTTTGGAAGTTTTTTCACATTTTTGACCCATTTTCACACTTCTCCTAAAATGAGCATAGCACAAACTTTTGTAGGTTAAAATGAGTCAGTAAAATAACGATGATAACGATGACATGGTGATTTTTATATCGCATAAAAGTTGTAGAAAACTCAGCTCGTGAGTAGCTGCATAAGGACAAGAAGAGAAAAAGAAACCCTAGTTTTAGTTTTTTCCCTCAGTTTTCAGACTCGATAAAATCATTCAGTTTGTATTAATTGTTTTCAGTTCAGAGTAGTTTAGCTCTGCTCTGACTGATTTTCTGTCCGAGTTTGCAGGAGCTGGAGAGACGTCTAGCCCTCCAGGAACAGGATATCGCCATTGTGAAGAGCGTGAAGTCCGAGGTGGCGAGAGTTCCAGATTTGGAAAAAGAGCTGAAGCGTCTCAGGGAAGACAACGCCTTCCTGAGGTCCATTTGCTTTCTTTTATTTGTGTTTATTCCACTGCTTTATTTGTAAGGAGACCCGTATGGCTGAAATTTCTTGCAGTTTTCTAACCTTTGATTATAGATTATGCTTGGACTCTCACATTCTTCAGACATGTAATGTCAAACTTGGAAGTGATAACTCCTTTTATTAATAATATGTATTTGCTGTCATCTATAGTATGTTAGGTGACAACTGTCTCTATGAACAGTAACTGAACACATTTTGATGGCAGACCAAACATTTCATTCTTGCGATTGATGAGGAGTTTTGGGTTTCTCCTCTGAACAGGGACAGCAGGGAGAACTGCAGCCTGTTGAAGGAGGAGGTGGAGGGACTGAGGAGGAAACTGGAGAGAATGGAGAAGAAAAAAGAAGAGCTGGTTAACATAGAGCTGGAGAAAGAGGTAAACTGTCTGTCTGCTGTCACAGTTAACTACAAAAAATGATGTGGATACTAGAATAACTGAGAATCTAAACCAGGAGTTTCAAACTCCTAGCCACCACTAAAATATCAAATGTACTTTTTAGTTTTTTTGAAATAAAAAAAAAAGTCCTACTCATTAGAATATAAATGATTTGTTTTCTTCTGGTAAATGTATAATTTTAAACTGTTCAAACAAAATTACCATTTTGTTTGGGTAGATGGTAAATGGTAGATATTTTAAATTTTTTGTACACATAAATGAATATTGTTGCCTTTGCTCTGACAGTAAATGATATTTGGTCACTTTTAGAGGCTGGCTGAGAAGCTGCAGGCCTGGGAAAACATCGGACAGTCTACAGGACTCAACATAAGGTCAGTATGATGGTGTCAATGAGCAGAAGAGCCCTCTTTAAAAAAACATTTATCATCAATGTCTTTCTAATGAAATACAAAGAAAGACCACTAGGTGGAGCTGTAGTCTTTCTAAACGACTGCACCTCAGCTCACTGAAACGCCTGGCCAACTTGTTAAACAGACTGAGGTTTCCATGTGAGCAGTGAAGCAGTTCTGACATGTTGTATGCACTGAAGATCTGCGCATCGCATGCATGCACACGTTAATACACATCAACCCATTTACTATAGGATCATCTCTGGACTAGGTGGAACACATCCACACCATGCAATATATCCAGTTTGTTTTACACCGTTTGTCGATGGAGAACCAGGTGCTGCACATTATTTTTGGTCAAAAAAAAAAAAAAAAAAAAAAAGCTGGAAGGTGCCTGCATGATGAAGCACAAAACAAAGTGAGAGCTTTCTACCCGGAGCACCGGTCGAATTGGAAACCTCGTGTTTGATTTGCTCTAGCAGACGGCATCTGCTCTCCCATGTGTTTTCAACAGCTGGCTTCGCCCCGGCCAGGCCAGCCTCAGCGCTGGGCCTGACATCAGGGAGGTTTGATATGATGAGGCTCCACAACCAAGGTGGTCAGCACAGTTTGCTTTGTCATGTTTAGTCCAGAGCCAGGGCTTCCCAAACTTTTCCATATGTTCTGTATATGTAAATAAGTAGAATGTTTTTTGTTCAATATTTAATCGTTTTTTGCATTTATTTAAGATAAATACTGCATTGGATTTTATATTGCCACCCCCAGTTCTGTGGTGGAAAATTTTATTATTAACAGATAATACAATTTTTCATCACAATCCCCTGTTTGATTAGAAAAAATATATATATATTCTATTGATCACATCATATTTTAATTTATTCCCACAGTTCTTATGTTTATTTTTAAATTAAATGATTGGAAAACAGAAAACAAAAATTTCAGACAGTTTTCTGAAAACACTGCTCTACAATGCAACCAGTTTAATAAAGTAAAGGTACTCCCCCTTTAATTGGCCTTGGTGGACATTTATCTACACCTGTATCGATGCTTCAGTCAGAGGTGAGTAGGCTATGCTATGCTAGGCTAGTCACGTGAACATAGTACATGACGTAGAGGAGAGAAAACAGAAAAGTTGAGGTCTGAGCTGTCGAACAAATCATTACCAATTCTCCGACATGAAGCCATCAACCTCCCAGGTTATGTGAAACTGTGGTTAAAAAACAGCTTTAGAAAGTGAGCCGCATGCGATGGACTCCGAGCCACAGCCACTGATATTAAAAGGCGGAAGTGTATAGACACGTTGTGATGTAAACAATAACAGTTGAGACAGAGACCCACCTTGTCCTTCTGGAATAATTCAAACATACATCATGTTTAGTTCAGTCGCTAACATTTCCCCATAACGTTTGTTATGTTCCAGTTCCACTCTAAGAAGCTTACTGTAAGTTGCCTGTACTGTAAACAACGTCTTCCACTGCAAAGAGAGAAGTGCCGAGCTGAACAAGATGACTGTTGATATTAATTTAATATTTGGAAATGTGGCCAACATGGACTGAACGACTTCATTCACTGCCTCTGCTGCTGTTGCTAAAACTTCAGGCAGACTACAAATCTAAGACGGTGCAGAAAATCAATATCATTGTTCACAACTTCTTCTCTTCCTGATTGGCTCGGTTAAAATTCATTCTGGTGAAATGTCATTCTTACATGTCACCATAGCTTACTGAATGACTTTGTTTTCTATAATAATTTGAATTTAACTGTTTATTACCAAGCCTCCCAGTGGCTAACAGAATGGAGTGACGTCTCTTTGTTTTAACATTCTCTCTGCTCTGTCTCTCATATATATATATATATATTTCTTTTTCTTTTTTGTGATCTCTCTGCATATGCATGCGCTCACTACCCAGAGCTTTGTGTGTCTGCAGGAAACCGGAGGATCTGTCCAGGGAGGTGATTCAGATCCAGCACAGAGAAATTGCTCTGAAAGAGCAGAACTACACACTCAGCAGCCGGTAACACACACCGTCTGACTCACACACACAATCCCCCCTATCTCTCTTGTTTCAGACTTTTTTCTCTCATTCTATTTGCATTGCGTCTCTCTCTCTTTCTCCCTCTCTCTCTCTTCATGCATCTATTAAGAGTCTATCTCTGTGAAGTCTTTAATTGTCACAAAGTTAATTAAAGTGGTCCTGACTCTGATAGCACTCCTGACGGCAGCCGTTGGTGTGTGTGTGTGAGGTTATGATTGTTTGAGAAAAGGAATTTACTAATTAAACTCGTCCTGTTTAGACTGAGGTGGTATCTGTAGGGACTGTATGCATGCTGTCGGTTATTAATGCTGCGCTCGTGTCCAGATTTTGTTGGTTAACAAGCATTTCTCCTGTGCTGAGCGTTTTGGGCTCATTACGACACATTAAACACAGCAAAAGCGCCGGATGATGAATGGGCCAGAATCTGCAAAGGGACTTCTGCAGTGTAATTATTAGCCTTCACTGTAATTATTGTCCTATTGATCAGACTTGACACAAATCTCTGTCTCAAATGATTTCTAGACGCTCATCATTCAGGCAGACAGGTAGGCAGGTTGTCTTTGAGGAAATATTATTAGAAATTGGCTTTAAATTGTTCTTCCCAAATTGTCTGAACATCCAGCCCTAGTCAATCTGCTTTCTCTTTTTACCCTTCCCTCCACTTTTGCACACAAAAATCTCTTCCCCCGGCTATTCATTTGTGTTGCCCGTCAGAGTCAGGAGCTTGGTGCATTCCCAGTCTGAAGCCGGAGCGGAGCTGACCCAGCAGTGCGGCAGAACCGTGGAGGAGCAGAAGAAGAGAGAGGCTCAGGATGCGCTCATTCGACGACTACAGAAACGACTACTTTTGTTAACCAAGGTACCTGGCAATCAATAAAAAACACACGCACACACTCCAAGAACTAAAAATCAGCAAGCTATTTTTACCATATTTTTAAGTATATTTATGCTATTTAATTAAGTATATTTATGGATCTAAAAACACTTAATTAATTTATTTATTTTCAGTGCTTTAAGAGTTGTCTTTTCTTTTTTTTAGACTTTTGTTGTGCTTTCTTGCACAATGACAATAAAGGAATAAAAACTTAAATACAAATTCCATAAAACTTAACAAGAACATGTTTTTCTGAGATTTTCTTCTAACTTTCCTCAAATTCAAAAGTTTACATACATCCCTAGTATTTGCCAATACCAGGGATAACTGTCTTTTAAAAAGGCATACTTGGAAACCTTTTAGGATTCCTTCCAATGTTGTTTAAAACTACATTATTTAATTCCGGCTGTGATATTACAGAACATGATTGCAGGGATACTGGAATAAATAATGATCTGTGATGTTACTTACTCCAGGCACTTTGATCAGTTACAATAATGCAGAATAAAACATAGAGGATCAAACATAAACTGGATGAGATGATGGTGACATCATGACGAGGTTCTAAATATGCTCTTCATCTGGAAAACAAATCAGTTAAGAAATGGCTTCAAACGAATAAACAAGACAACACATTTTAAACCGGCAATATTATGTATTTTTCAGCTACATAGCGCCATTTTATAGCACAATCATGTAATTATTTTAACTTGAGTTGTTGTAAAGGTGCTATATAAATATCAAATATGACTTAAAATAAATTTGACTTTGTAATTTAACGCCTTGAAATTGGGCCTCTGTCTCTTTAAAAAGCTCCTGCTTTTTCTGAAACTCCACCTTCAGCAAGTCATCACGACATCTGTCCTCTTAAAAACCCAGTATCTCACTGAGAAGTAGCTCCTATAATGAGCTCAGCAGGTACATAGCTCCACCAGGTGTTTGCTAATTTCTTCTGGCTAGTCTGAAGGAACTGACTATGGGGAATCATGCGTGAGGACCTCTAAGAAGAAGCTGTGCCCTGAAGGCGGAGCTAGGTCCAACCATGTGTTTTGCACAGCTGATTGGTTGCCATGGAGATTAAAGGATTTCTCAAACATTCATGAAAGAATCACGGCAACAATAAACTATGTTTTTGGTGAGGAAATTACAAAATGCAAGGCTCAAAAACAACTATTTTGCTTAACTCTGCCCCTTTAATTGAAGGAGATGTTATGATGCAACATGGCGACATGAACATAATGGTTCGTCTGTTTGCTGGAAGGTTCACCGCTCGGCCTCTGTGTCACGCGCATGAAGCTTTTTAAATGGCTCGCTCACTAGTCCAGCATTTCTTTTCAATTTCAAATAACTGATTTTTATCTTTATCTTTTATCTTTACCTTAAGGCTTCACCCACTAAATACCCACACTTACCATCACCTACAGTATGTAACTCTGCGGGACGACAGACTGACCCATTTGGGGCACAGAAATCTTTAGCCACCAGATGAGGTTGACAGAAAAGCAATTTGGCAACAATAAATGGTGAAAACAGCAATAAGTTTTATCACTCTGTTCTCCCGCTCCATGTTTGTTTTTAAATTAAATTTTTCATTTTATCACAGAAAAGTGATGAATTGAATTTTCCCTGCAGGTTAATAGACAAACAGCTGGAAGCCCTCCTGGTTGGTATTTGGAGCAAACGCTGACCTCCAAACGTATTTGTTCTGTCTGGTTTTTACTTGTGTTCCTAGTGATGTTTAGTTTCCTATTCCCTCTTGCACATTACCTTGAGCGCTTGCATTGTGTTAGCAAGTTCCAAATGCATAACATTCATTTACATTGTTTAACAATCTGTAGGGGATTTGTTTGTTTACTTGAAATCTAAAATAAAATTATTCAATAATTTTTTGTGCTTTATTTAATTGGAGTTTGTTTTGTGCTTTCGTGCGACCTTTACATCCAGAAAGTAAAGCACAATTTAGTCACTTTTACCTTCACTTGTAATAAAAATGCTGTGAATATCAAAAACAACTTCAAAGAAATTTGACCTGGCATTGCAGGTGAATCCGACATTATGAAATTAACTCCTGTCTCTTTAAGAACCTGCTACCCTTTCTGACGCTCCCAATTCACCACTTCTTCACAACAATGCTCTTCCATGATCCCATTTACAAGCGTTCTTAGGAACGTTGGACTGAGACGTAGTTTGTGTGAAAAGGTCAGCAGTTGCACATTTCCACCAGGTGTTTGCTGATTACTGCTGCCGCAAGTCTCATTGCAGGCGCACTCCTCCTTGAAGACGATTTCACTCAGAGAGCCATGACTCTTCCTGGCTTCTCTCTTCATCCTCAAAGCTCTCGTCTATGCACTCTCATGTTACGTAGTGCTCACGGCTGCACTTCGCCGCTGCCCGTGTCTGTTCTTGCGTTACAGAGATAACTCAGCTGGAAGTCCTCTGTCTGTTCAGCGTCTCTCACACTGGTTGTGTGAGACTATTTTATATTCTCATATATCTGCTGGTTGGGATCCTCTAGGGGAGTCTCCTAGCTCACTCCACCAGAGGGATTTTACCCTCTATGGCTCTGTATGGAGGGATGGCTCTGGAGGAGATTTGTGCGGCAGCTGCCCTTGGTCATCTCCATGCTCATCTGCATGTTTTTCTCTGCATAGCGTTTCCACTTTGTCCATGATTTCTGACAGAAAGATTAATAAGTAATACTGGCTGCTTTCAGCATTCAGACATATTATGCTGGGAAAAAAAAACCTTGTCTTTTGCTGTCGTTTGATGCTCCTCATGTGTCGAGATGCGTTGCTGTGAACTTGCTGACCCTCAGTGGGAGAGAGGCTTTCAGGTCAAGATACTGTAGGTAGATTCATTAATCTATATTATGTAATATTAATGTGCTAAAGTTTTCTGATTTATCAGATGTGTTAACTTGTTAATGTTGAAGTCTTTTCAGCTGAATAATTAGTCCCACTTTGAAGCAAGCCAGTCATCGTATTAGACAAATTCTTCGAAGTTGAGAACTAAACCAACTGCAGTTGCTCTGATTGGCATCAGTGTCGAATATGTAATACAGCAAGAACGGCAAAAGAAGAATTTACAGAAAGCACATTCATCAAACACACAGAATCCTGACATAGTTAAAGCATGTTTATGTACTTCCATTTGGGTCTCTCCTGCTTGTAGAAGCAGTCCAAGCATAAAAACCCCCCAGCAAAACAAAACACCATCCAGCCGTTTTCTGGCAATAAGGTAATGTATTTTGGTGTCTGTAAAACCTTCTGATTGTAACCTCAGAATCATCGAGCACTGCCCCTCACCTAGCAGCCTAGTGGGAGATGGTCAGTTGATTGTATGTGTTGTAAAATGACTGCTGGAAAAGACATGTCTTTGGTGTTTATAGGGTTTCCTTGAGAAAATTTGCTAAGCTCAATGGTTGGGGCCCTAGAGCAGCCATTCAGAGTCCACTGTGTTTTTGGAGTTAAATAATTTTTTTAAAGTTGAAAGAAAATTTGAAAATGTGACTTGGTAATTGTTTGTAATTGGAAGACACTTTAACAACATTTAAACACCATCTATAAAGTCTTAAAAATTCATTAAATTTGTTGGGATATAGACCAGTAAAGACAGGAAGTGGTTACTGAGCTCTAGTAAATAAAGAAACACACCTGACCTCAGTGTCCAATCCTGACCACACGTTGCCATGGTGCTTCCAGCCGTTTCACCAAAGAAACTCTTTAGCCTGCCTTTGCTATCGTTGTCACTGGTGTGTAAGAAGCCCCTATGATAAATAATGTTTAGCCTGGTGGCCCGCCAGGCTTATCGTACACTGAGGGAAACCTCGGTCTTTAAACTTGCTGCTGCATGACTGCTTGAATGTTTGTGTTCCAGGAACGTGATGGCATGCGTGCTATACTGGAGTCTTACGACAGTGAGCTAGCGTCAAACGAGTATTCTCCTCAACTCAGTAAACGAGTCAAAGAGGCAGAAGACGTTCTGCAGAGGACACAAAATCACAATGCAGAGATGGAGGTGTGTGACGACTGTCTTTAACTTATTTCTTCTTCTTTTTTCTTTTTGCATATTTCTTATGCTTGATATTCCTTGACAGTTTTAAGATTTAAGGTTTGCACTGAGTGACGTAAACAAGCACCCAGGCTTTTATTTTTGGTGTCTACATTGGTGCAGTATTCTCCTTCACGGAGATCATATAAATGCTGGTACAGGCTTCTGAAAAGCCATTTTTAGTGGGTTTTCAAAACCGCATTATAATAATTTGTGATGGCGCAGGAGGTCCAGGCTTCACACCCAGTTCAATAAGTCATCTATAAATATATATCTTATATATCTTTGCTAAACTGTTAAGAGTTAAATAACCTATTTAAAGTAAATAAATGATGCCTATACTGGCATTGGGTAAGTGGAGTGCTTATAATACCCTGAGGGAAATGATGCGTTAAAATAGGTAAATTTTCACTCTGTGTTAGAAACACTTGCTTCTCTTTTTTTCCAATTCAGGCTCAGCTCAGTAAGGCACAAGAGGAGACAGGGACGCTCAAACTGCAGCTGCAAAAGGTAAGTATGCACTAGACTTCACAGTTTATCCGATAGCCCTTTTATATGCCAACCCATAGCTGCACTGCCGTGGTAGAATAATTATGCTAACTAAATGAAACCTGGAGATGTAGGTATTCTTAATTTAATTATTAGTTTTTCTGGTTGGGCGGCCCAGAAAAATCAGCAAAGAGCAACTCTAAATCACTTCTATTCTTCATTTTTCTTGCTCTCTGTGTATGCTACGCTATGCACAGGTCTGTTGCCATGGCAATGGACTGACAACAGCTCCACCAGTGTATCAAGATCCAGCATAAAAAACATACAATTTTCTCACCCAAAGAACAGAACATTCAGTCTGTTAAAGAATCACGTTTCTTGATGTTTATTTTGCGATTATTAATAAGTGATCGTCCAAACACAGAGGTGGTTGATTAGCTGATTTAAACTCCTGTTCTACTGATGATCTGTCAGAGAGTCGGTGTTTGTTGGTCATCTTTTTCTTTTTTTTAACTGAATCTAAACACACTGTGGCACATCTCCATCAAATGTTGTCAAAGTCAAGCTAGCATAAATGGCGTACTTCCCTGTCCTTTTTATTGTTTTGTAAATAAAACTTTTTCTTGACCAATGAAATGTGATACCTTTGTACTTTATTTAGTTGTAGTGTTGACAATTAATAGCAAAGCATCCCATCCCTTTTTCTTTTATACATCAGCTATGCATTTAAGATTTAGCATATTACAGTGATCCCTCGTTTTTCGCGGGGGTTGCGTTCCGAAAATAACCCGTGATAAGTGAAATCCACGAAGTAGTTACCTTAGTTTTTACAATTATTATACAGCATAATTAAATACTCTACATTAAAACCAAAGAACAAAACCTGTTTTCAGATCAGTGGATGTGCGTGTGCATCAATCGGGTCTTAATGTGATTTGGAGTCATGTCATTAAAGCGTCTCGTCCAACCTGCCCCGCGAGACTCATAGCTGTATCTATGGCAGAGCGACGGATCTCGTCAAGCGAGCCTCCGCCGGTCAGGTTTTGCTGCCTCTGGCCACAGTTTTTTCCAGCAGGCATTCAAAGTTTTCAGCTTTTGTCTCCTGAATTTCCAATCTGTATTACTTATATTTAAATACCGTAACGTTATTGGCACACAGGTAGAGAAGGAGCTCGGAGACTGTTTAGCCAATCAGGACCCCGAACACAATGCACTGTGAAAAAAACTGCACAAAAAAAAAATCCACAAAGCAGCGAGACCGCGAAAGGTGAACCACGTTATAGCAAGGGATCACTGTACGTTGATAATTTCACAACTAGAACCAATGATAGTCGTCGTCTGCGAGCAGACAGTGGAGAGCTGGATGGGGCTCGTAACGTCACTTTGCAATGTGACTTCACAGGGATTTGTCTGCAGGCTTCTGCTGGGCTTACGGCCCATTGGTGTAATGTTGGTGCACTCATCAGATCATTTTTTCTTTTGTCTGTTCTAGCTGGAGCATGAGTTGGAGACTGTAAAGACACAACTGGCTTCTTCAGCTGACTGCAGCTCTTCAGCGAACAAAGAAGAGGTCAACATACTAAGGTATTAAACTTATATGACTAGTTGTAATTCCTCAGGGTCTCTGCAGGATTTCAACAAGGGTGTTCACTTTAATTATCTAAGTTTTAGACCTGGATTAATCAACTTGATGAAACTCATTGAGCCAACACCATGGTTATTCTTCTTTTGCACACGTTTTTCATTCCAATCGTCTTTCCGTTAACATTCTTGTCTACAGCGGTCTAATAGCCACCTTCTTCAGCAATAAGCTATGATTTATTTCTGAGTTTTGAGTTGCTATATGGAGTAATCATCAACATTAAGACAAATATGTGCTTGAAAGATATCTTTCTGTCTCCAGATACGCCAGTTATGTTTTTGATGAGGGAATAAAATAAGATAATGTAAAGCAGAAAAATTTAGATTTTTACATAATACTTCGCCTTTTAAATATATATTGTTTCTTTTTTTTTATCTTTTACTGAAATCTTCAGAGATCCTGATTAATATAAAATCTGAAATTCTAAGTCATATGAAAACCATGGTTGCTCTGATGATGGTTTATTAACAGACCCTGTCCTCACACACATTTTCTGTAATGGTGATTATTTTGGTTGTAATTGCAATTTCCAGGCAAAAAATTGAAGAGTTGGAGAAGGATCGACAGCGTTTGGAAGAGCAGAATAACATTCTGGAGATGAGACTGGAGAGACACAACCTGCAGGTAGGCAACAAACGTCCCTCCAACTGGCTTTTGTAATGGATTTACTCGTCTGGCACAAAGGAACAAATTTAATAACCCCAAGGGTAGCGGCCTGTCCTACAAGACGCCGTGGATTGATGCACAAAAATATATTTCATATCTGACAGTTTTTTCAAGCACAATTGGAGCCAGGTGTCATTCCAACAGCGTCTAGTTAAGTAGCTGCAGAGCCGAAGGTGGATTAAAACCCATTCTTTTATTGGATGAAAGGATTACAGTGGACACAGATTTGGACAGGGGTGAATACGTTTAGCTGTTTAGTTTTGAAAGGGGCAGTATGTGTTTCCCAGGCACATGGTGCCAATTTATAGCACAATCAAGCAACTATGTTAGCTTCAGTTGAAAATATTATATATAGCATAAAAATGCTTTATATCAAATATGGTCTACAAGGTTTTCCACAGAAAAGGCCCGGCGGTTGGGTGCTTAGTCAGTCATTCATCCAGCACCCCGTCGTGTTTTTCAGTTAAAAAATGTTTAAAGTTGACAGGAAATGTGGAAATATCATTTGATAATTATGTGTTATTGGAAGACTGACACCAGAACACCAACAATAAAGGCTCAAAAAATGCAACCATTTTAAAAATACTTGCCAGGCTTATAAAACACTGGGGGAAATTCTGACTTAAAAGAAATTTTACTTCCTACTTTAATGCACTGAAATATAGCCTCTGTCTCTTTAAAAGCTTCTTCTTTTTCTGTGACTTCGCCTTCAGAAAGTGATCCTCTTCTAACCCTTTAACAACGTTTTTACCAGCGTTGCACTGAGAAGTGGTTCCTATACTGAGCTCAATAGATGTGTAGCTCCACCAGGTGTTTGCTAATTCCTGCTGGCTAGTCTGAAGGAGCTGGGTTGGGAAGTTGCGGGTTATGGGTGTTCAATGAAGCAGAAACTTGGAAGCTGTAGCTCTGAGGAAGAGCTGTGTCTTGAAGACGGAACTCGGTCCATCTAGGTGTTTTGCACACGTGTGGTTGCCAGGGGAGATTAAAGGATTTTTCAAAATTGTGTGAAAGAATCAAGGCAACACATGTATGTTTTTGATGTGGGAATAACTTTAGAACATGAGGTACGAGTCGATTTTACTTAACACTGCCCTAAAATGTGATAAAATTATATTATTGCTGACAGGTAGTGGGATCAATACTGCCGACACATTTAATTGATCTATTTTAATCTAACAAAATAATTTAATAACCTTTTGTCTTCGCCTGTGGTTGTTTTTATTTTGGGGATCCCCTCCTTGCTTCCCTGCCTCCACATATTGCTTATGTATGAGAGTTCATGTTTCATCTCAGGTTCTGTAACTCCCTCTGACTTAAACTGCACTAAACTAAACCTGCCAAGGCACTTTAATGAAATCTGTGTGGCCGAGCGTGTTGACTCCATTTAGCCATGGAGTAAATAAAATCCACATCTCCCCAAGCATGACCGCTACCTTTAAGGCAGCAGCCGACTGACTGAAGGGGTGAATTTCTGAACGTTTCAAGGTTACTCAGTCAGTGGATCGGGTCAATTCATAGGAGTTAATTTTTTTGACTCCCCCAGTGAGAGAGAGCTGCTCATCAGTCTGCGTGGAGAGATGAGGGACAGGCTGGAGAGGTGTTGGAGGGTGGAAATCAATGACTGAATGGGTCTGAGTGAGTGACATTCAGAAGTGAATGCCTCAAAAACCTCACAATGAGAACTTTTGTTACACCGACTGTCACAGATTGCTCTAACCTAACCCTAAATTGACTCCATCTTTATATCATTGTCAATTTCTCCATCTATCTTTGTCATGAAATATGTCATAAAATTGCTTTTATTCATTAAAATTGCTCTAAATTGACTAGGGAGTTCAGTAATTTGTCAAGGTACAAAGGCATTAAACCTTTCAGCATTAGCAAAAACCCACTTAAGCCATTAAATGTTCAGCAAAAAATGAAAAATTAAGGCAGCACAATGCCTAGTAAATACCTTGGTATTGTAATTGTCAAGCACTGTAGCTGAGAGTTTTTGTATTATTGGTCAGATAAGAATACCTGATGGCAATTGGAACCAAATTTGGTCATATTTTATTTTAAGAAACTTAAAGCCATGACCGTAAAACAATACGGGGGACTCTCTTCCCAGCTGCACCTTGAAGACCTTTAAACAATATGTAATGCAGACATTAAATCAAGAGGTGTCAAGAGATTCAAACTGTAATTATATTTAAAATATACATGAACAGGCATTAAACTGGTTGCATCAATGTGCAAATTCTGAAACTGCTGTTTGATTAAACATTCTGTACCAGAATTTATTGATAAGCAGGATTTCCCCCAAAAAATCTGTTAATCCTGGTGGCAGGAGCGCAGGGGAAGTCTTTTTTTTTTTTATCACAAAAAGTGTGTTTTTGTGTTTAAAAATTGGTAAATGTCGCAAAAATTCAGAGCTGCACGAATGGGCATCATAATTTGAAAATAATAGTGTGTGAGGAGGGGCTTGCTAATCGACGCAGTGCAGGTCTTTGGTCGGCATCGACACATCTTGTTTCGCGGACAGACAGGTTGGGCTTGCTGATTTAGGATGGACAGGTGTGTGGTAATCATAGAGCTACTTCCCAGTGAAACGCTGGTAAACACTTTGTTAAAGGGTTAACAGAGGAGCCATATTGTGATGACTTCCTGGAGGCGGAGTTTCAGAAAAAGGAAGAGTTTCTTAAAGAAAAAGGCCCAATTTCAAGGCATTAAATTACAAAGTCAAAATTTCTTTTAAGTCAAATTTGATTATGTAGCATTTTTAACAACTGAAGTTAACATAGTTACTTGACTGTGCTATAAAATGCCCCTATAAAATCATCATATAATGAGGCACAAACATAAGAACTGGAACTATTTGAAGAGGCTTAAGTTAGATTGTTGTGGGATTTTTTTTGTTAAGTTTTAAAATTTGCATCTGCTGTGGATGCAGTTCTCAGAGCTGCATGACATTACTTCATAATATCTTAATAACACCATCAAACATTTGAGTTTACTTTTACAAAGACAAAAAGAGAATGAGTCAGTGGAAGGCTGCTTGCTATTGCTTTTTAAATAAATTAAAAAAGACTTTGCTGGAGCCTCACTTGCCACTCTGTGAGTATAATATGATCTGCCACTTTCCCATGCGTGGCCTCTGGGGGAACCCTTAAATGGATTATTGGAGGTGATAACTGTGGCTTGGAAACGACAAATACCAATCACGGTCAAAGTTCTTAAGTAGCCACCTGCAAACTCTGCCAAAAGATTGCACAGCTTTTTCACTGTGGGAGATTTTGAGCTTTCATGCCACATAAAAGATAAGGCAGTGCAGGAAATCTTTGATTAGGATTAGTTTTTGTCGACTGGCCAGCATATTCTCCAATAAATCTTGTAGGTAGTCAGAGGAAGCCTCCAAGCCCTGCACTCTCATTGACAAACATTCTGAAGAGGTCTGAAAAACTTATTTTTCAAAGGTCCAATATTGATTGTTGTAGATGTTTGTGTAAAACACACAAAAAGAGTTTTCTTCCTTTAAGAATGTGTGGAGAGAACATTAGTTCAGGTCAGCTCAGCAGACTAATCAGAAAATGTCTTTGTGCTCGTTGTGTGTTATAGTACTTGAACATGACAGAAGTCCATGTTTCTCCATTAAATGCATCCTGACACATTTTGTACTGGCTATTTAGGAAATCAGGTGACCCAGTTTATAAAAGCAGATTGATTTAAAAAAAAAGAGAGACAGAAAAAGGGGAAAAAATAGAAGCTCAAGTAGTAGTAGGTTGCCTTTTCATTCCACTTTGTCCATTCTCCCCAGGGTTCTTAAAACAAGCTCTGTAAAGTTGGTCACATTTAGAGCCAGCCCAAGGCAAAAGCAAACTAAGCCCAAGGCAAAAGCAAACTAAGCAGCTTCTTAGTTTGCTAAGGTCTTCTGTGCTTAAATGCTTAAATTTTAACTCAGACCACAGATCTAGACTTTTCATGTTTGTTAAAAACGCACATTTTTTGTAACAGTGCCACCTAGTGGCCATATTTAGAAAACTGTCCTCTACTTGTTTATGATGTGTGATTTTTTTCCTCACTCAACTTTGAGATTTGATCAAATGTGAGGCAACATACAACACACTCCATAATCATATTCAGGCTGTGGCCTCAGGGTGCTGTCTGGAACATCTGCACCAAGTTTGGTGTAATTTAATCCAATGATTGTGCAGAGATAAACTTTTTGATCCCACAGTGTCCCTATCACCAAAATGTCCAAAAAAATCATTACACAGGGATGTTTAATTCTTTATTAAAATATATGTATTAATTTCTTATGTAATGATAAAATGTGATGAAGATGTGCACAAACATATTTGATGTGTATTAATGATTCTGATATGGCTCTGACTCAACAAATATAATGTTTACTGGCTTTTCAAGTGGTGACTGTATGTTGTTTTTATGACTTTTTATTTTTGTGTTTTTATCATGTACAGCACTTTGAATTGCCTTGTTGATGAAATTTACTACACAAATAGACTTGACTGATTGACAATTAACTTTTGTGCTAGTGATGCACAACAGCAAAGTGGTGCAGAATCATCCAAGGATTAAGACGATTCAAGGTTTTTGATTGTAGGATTTATAGTTTAAAAATTATTAGCTAAAACACATTGACTTTTGCTAATCCTTTGTCTGAGTAGTGGTTAGCTCTCTCTACCATATTAGATGTCTTCCATCATTTTCTGGTTCTTCAGCCCAATGTGTTTTAGCAGAAAGTAAAAATACTAATAAGGAAAAATCTGTACAATTACAAAGGGTTCCATGCTCTGCTTGGAGCAGTCAAATTGACTGGATTGCACTCAGTCGTTAAAGGTGATAAGCGTCTGTCTTCCACCACTTGGTGTTGCCGTTACAATTTAACCTAAGCCCATGCCCTGCCTGTCGACCAAGAATTGTACATTTCAGTCCTCACTTCTTCAAGATCAAGCAGTTTCCTGAAGCAGGCAAACAGGCCTGCCTTCCGTTACCTGTTCTGCCCCCTCTGTGGGCTTGGAACCCTAATAATGTAGTAGGAAGGGTGATTGAGGGGGACGGGGTGAGTTGGCTCTGCCACACTTTGACAACCCCTGCTGCATATTATTTTTAAAAATACCCTATGAGAACCGTTTTGAGTTAGTCTGACTTTTTGACCACAGAAAGTTTCAGCAGCAAATGACAAAAAATCCATTAGTCTTGTTGACGTGGTAAATGCTCTCCTAATTACTTGTCACAAGACACAAAGGTCACCCCAACACTCGGTTTTTATTAATTACAGGCCATTCTGACTAAAAATATCTTGTAATGCACATTTCAGTTATTCCCCTGGGATGTTTTCTGTCTTGCATGTAGCTCTTAACACTGCAACACAGAAAGGGAGACCTTAAAGCTGAGCCATCCATTCAAGTTGCTGCGTTGGAGAGTTCTTCCTTCATGCTTTTCAGGCACAACCCCAATCTTCTCTTACTTATCCATTAACTCGTCTAAAGCTCAAGTCTCCATGGCAAATCCTGGCAGAGATTCTAATGAATCCATTTGGTCAAAATAGGTCTATCGCAACAAATAAATGATGAATTAAAATGAGGTTGATAATTGCCTGTTTTCGTCGTGTTTGTTCTCTTTCTACCAAGAAAACTGGATGACAAAAGTTTCACTCTGATGCATAATCTGACTCTTCCTCTTCTCACATTCTTGGAGTAATTAGCTCAACATATGGGTAGCAATAAATGACAGCAACAAGTGTCAGTATCCCAACTCAAGGGATGCCATAGCAACAACAGTGACAAAAGTTTGACATTTTTCAACTTGCTTGTATTGTGTTGCTAGCTCGTCTACATGTTTGAGCACATTCCACAGTCACTGAGATGTTTAATCAACACACAAAATACGTAAAGGTCAGCTCAAAAGATGGTTTTCCTAATTACCAGAGATGTCCTTTAGTCTCATTAAAAAGCCAACGTTTCTAAAAATGCTGCAAACATTTGACACCCAGTAGTATGGCTGCATCTTTTCACAAAAATTCTAACCACCAGTTTTACTTATTTCCCTTGTCTGATTAATATGTTTATTTGCAGAGACTTCATAATCAATTTTATATGTGTTTGTTTGGTTTATATATTCTGAATATTTAAAATGTCTTCCAGTTCCACTGTTATTTTTTAATTTTTTTTAAATTATCTTGATCTTTGAGATTGTGTACTTGCATTATGATTCAATTTTTATGCTAAGTAAAATTTGTTAAAGTGACAGGCTTATGTGAAAATGTGTTTTTTTTCTGTTTTGGATGACACAACCTCTGAATTTTTGAGACTTTGGTACCTATTGGGATTCAGAGCTCATTTGTTGAAATGCTAATTTTCATATAAGACTAGCAGAAATCCTATGCAGAAAGTTTTCACATGGTGATATTTTTCATTTGTTTATTTTTGTTCATTTGGAGAGTTGCGGCTCATAGCTAATGGAAACATCTAATTACGTTTATTTTACGAACAAATATTTAAAGAAACAAGCAACGTGGTGCCAGATAAAGGGGGAAAGTAATAGCTAAATAAACAGAGTTCTGAAACTCGCTGCATGTGGAACTGAAACGTGTTTCTGGATTGTGACGTCTTTTCTTTTCTCTGGTTTCTTTATGATCGAAGTGAGGACTGTAGACCTGTTATCTTCAAGATGTCTAATTATTCTCATGTCCTGCTGCTCTCTTTCTGCTGCCAAAGAATCTGTCCGTGTGTTGTATATGAAATGACATTGTAACAAGTATAGAATTTTCTATTCTTGTCTTGTAGATTCAAATGTTGTGGTGACAATTTTAATTGGCCGTGTGTTCCTTCCTTTAGACATGCAACTTATTGGCTTGTTATATGCATTATTATTGTTATGGGTTTCAAACACAGATGGTATGTTAACCAGCTCTGGATTTCCCCTAAAACTCAGATGCCTGCCGATTTAGATGAGATAGATTATAGATTTATAGATTGATTGATCTTTCCCTCCCTCTGGGATTTTCCTTCAGGGAAATTGTCTTTATCTCTTATTATTTAATGAAGCTGAATTCAAACACAAACTTTAGCATTTTAAAACCTTTGAAGCTGCTATTTAAAGCATTGGGTACTTTCTATGACTTCATCTTGTATATTATGCAAAAAAAAGAAGAAGAAAATTACTATTTTATCAGAAACTGATGGTTTCGTGACTAAGTTTTTAAAAATCATCTGCAAGCTTTTATTCAAATGTTGTTAAGCTTCTTCACTCTTATCAGGACTAGTCTGTCTAGTTAACAGTCCTGATTATTGAAGGACTCAGATATTATCTGTTCTCTGCTTGGTCCAGGGAGACTATGATCCCGTCAAAACCCGCGTCATCCACCTGACGCTGAACCCAACTGCCGAGGCCAAGCAGCAGCGTCGGCAGGAAGCGGAGGCGGTCCAAGAGGAACTGACGCGTCTGAGGGAACTCGTACGCTCCTTCCAGGAAGGAGGCGTGGCCTCACAAGACGACTCCAACATCCATATTCCTGGCTTTAGCATCAACTTACCCCCATCCAAGGAAGTGCTGGGTAAGATTCCCAATATGGAAACACGTCATTGATTAGTACTGAATTGGATCTTGATGAAAGCATGGGAAAATAATTGTTTGTAGAACTCAAACAGTTTTATTTCTTGCTAGTTTAATACAGATTTGTAAATAAGATTGAAGTTAATAAAAAAGAATAAATGTTGAGTCTCACAGCTGCAGCAAAAAGTCTTTATGGGCTAACGGTGGAGAAACGACCCGACCTTACAGGAAAACTGTTGATCTGATTTAGCTTTGCTAACTAGCCTTAGCATTCGTGGTAGGAGGAGCTGTGTCAAAGCAGAGAGCAAAGGGGAGGGTGTGAGCAGCAAATATACGAGCCTGATTAGCAGCACTGAGACACTCCTCTTGGCTCTGATTGGTTGTTTCTGACCAGCAGTGGTACATTTGTGCAGATGGCAGTAAAACCACTGGGAGGAGATGGAAGAGCTTGATTTCTTCACATGTTGTCTGTCTGCCTCAGTTTAACAAATATGTAAAAAAAGAAGTTTTTATAAAATTAAGCTACTGCAGCTTTTAGTATTCTTTTGATTACTCCAAGAGAAATGTTGTAATAAGCAAGAAATTAATTAATCCTATGGTAAATTAAAATGAACTCAATGATTTCAATTCTGATGATTAATAATTTTTGAAAAGCAATTTTGTTTACAGATACTTTATCAGTTGTGTCTGGTGTGTGTGTGTGTGTGTGTGTGTGTGTGTGTGTGTGTGTGTGTGTGTGTGTGTGTGTGGGGTTTTTTTTCCCCATTTTTTTTATTGTTTTTGGTTTGTTTTATTTCGGAAACTTAAAATATCTTCCAGTTCCAGTGTTAATTATTTTCTTAACCAAATTAAAGTTTATGTATCTTTGAGATGGCAAACTTGGGTTGTTATGCAATTTATCATATGTGCTTGAAAATGTTCTCAAAACAACAATAGTGTCGTTTATCACAATAACTACTGGGACAATTTATCAAACAGTTAGATTTGCTATGGTGTCGGGCCTGGTTACAACTAGTTTACTGTCATAGCCAGACAGTAAGCTAGCAGAATTCACTCACCCTACAGCAACATAGCTATTTACTGTAGAAATAAACTGCATTTGTTGGAATTTTTGCTGGACAAGTTGAAGTGATACCTGGTCCTGTTTCTGCTGTGATGAGCATCCAGCTGTGATTTTATTTTATGTTGTAGAAGTAAAAGTGAGCAGCTGTACTTCTATGGAGACATTGCATTTGTTTTGTTTGAGATCTGTCCATCAGTGCTGCATCAGTGTAGTGAGAATAGGTGGAGAATGCTCAATGTTTACAAAGATGATGTCTTGCAAAGACGGCTGAAATTCATATGTAAAACGTATTCAGTGCAGGCGTATATTAATTATTATATTTTGCTCTAGATTTACGTAAGCAGATGGAGAGCTCCGAGCTGAGGAACCAGAGGCTGAAGGAGGTGTTTCAGAAGAAGATCCAGGAGTTCCGCACCGTCTGCTACGTCCTGACTGGTTACCAGATAGACATAACCACCGAGAACCAGTACAGGCTCACCTCCGTCTACGCAGAGCACATGCAGGACTCGCTGCTCTTCAAAAAGGTATGCAAAATTACAGGGAGGACTTGATCCATACTGGAGGAAACACTAGTAATGTCGACTGCCATCAACATTATTAGATCAAAAGTACAATTGAAAAGGATTTCACTGGTGCAACATTCATAGACTACTACTGGGAGTAGTAGGCAGAGGAAAGGCTTTAGCTTCTCCAGCTCTCACTGTGAGCAAGGAAGGTTGGTGGCATCAACTAACTCACACACTCTTTGGTTACCTAGCGACAAAAAAGTTGTGGAGTGAAAACTGTGGATGAATAAGGAAAAGTAAATCCAAAGGTTTGGCAGTACTTAAGTAGATTTAATCATGGATACTTTTGACTTTAAGTCTACTACATTTAGACATTAAGTTGTGCTTTGTATAATGTCTTGTGTTACTTCTTACATTTGTTTTTCTTACATCTTTTTTAACAGGCTTATTAGTTTTAAAGTAATCAATGACGTAAACAACTTAAGCTTTGGGTCATAATATAACCCAGAGTTCTCTGCCGGTTATCTTGTAAAGTTCTAAACTGAACTCTAAATGTAGAGTTCGGTATTGATTGATCTCTACATTTTATAAATATAGAGTTGATACTTGTCTAATTGAGCTGAGAACATAAGTGGAAGAATTATGTGTGAGTGATACAGAGGCTGGCAGAGTGTTAGGTCATGGACATGGGGCTTTAATCTCTCTCTTGCTCCCTGTATGCTTGAGTAGGTTCAATTCTAACTGTATGTGATTGTCCCTTATCTGTTGAGCAAATCCTTTACTTAAGTACCTCTAGTGAGAGGGGAAAAATATGATGTCCTTCCTCTACTCATGCATGCTTTTTTCTTTTCTTCTTTTCATCTGTCCATTCAGTGCTGGGTACATTCACCCCATTTATCTCTGTTTTTGTTTGTCTCCCTCTTTCTCTGCTGCTCTGCTCTGATCTGAGCTTGTAGCAGTGGGTAATCACTGTGCTGTTGCTTGCTGGTGTGATGATGGGTGTCCTGCAGCTAAGACAAATCCAAACTGTGGGGAAATCATTTCCGGCAAGTTAGGGAGCAGGTTTAATATCTTTGTAGCTAATTAATGCCTTGCTCAAGGACAAATTTGAGATCCGACAGGGTAAAATGTGACATAAAATTATAAACGAGGGGAATGAGAATGTGTGAGAATAGGTGTGTTGTTATTACAGCTGCTGGTGTGCCCAGCTCGCCCACCTGAGACCCTGCTGGAGGAGACAGTTTACTGCCAATATTTGTTGACCTCATATATTCATCTTAAAATCTAAAAACACACACACACAATGTGTACACCCTCTTGGTGTACATTTTCCTGCTTAAGTGATCACATGTTTGCCTCAGTCTTTTTGATACCAACCTCGTTGCATCTCAAAGTTCATCCATTCACATGCACAGAGCAGGATGTGCACAGGGTTGTAAAAAGGTATTAATAGGTGATGGATGAAATTAGCAAAAAATTGAGACCAAGGTTATAACTGACTAATACTAATGAAATAACAAAAACTGAAATAAATAAAAATGGTAATTAATGGGTGAGAAACTACAAGTAACGGGACTATATTGTGCGCTTATGAAATTAACTAAAACATACTGAAATCATAGATATAATATCCTTACGCTTTTGTGTTTACGGATCTATTTATTAGCTTTTTGAACTGATCTAACCATAATGAAAAAACCCCACACTATCCTGATTAAGACTTAAAGCAATAAATATCATCTGACAAGGTATTCATTTTTTGAACAACGACTTAGCAATATGTTGTTTTTCCATTTGTATTAGGTACAGGTCTATCTTCTAAAAAAATCCAGTGTTTGCACATAATATCTGTCTGAATTTTATGTTCTAGTCAGACCTGAGCCGTACTTTTACTGCTTTAAGTGGGTCGCTATGCACCGGTGCGCAGTAACAGAACTTTAAAATTTTACCCCTCGGTGTACTGGAACAATTTTCCTTCACTCTGTCGGAAAATACCTTTTCCGGTATTGTAATAAGTGTTGGATCAGTCTGTGTTTCCCCTTCAGTATGTAGGTACCACTTCTCCTGTGTCGTCATTCTATGATCTACCGACCACCTGGTTACAATCCAGCAGCGTTAAATGCAAACAAAATGGCATTTTGAACAGGAAGCATAGAAGCCTCTACAAATGGGATTCTACCGTTAATCACCACACCAATGGGGTTGCCAGATAATTTTGCTAATATTCCCCTTTCAGCAGAGGCAACCAAATCTCCCTTCTATGATACATAAGTTGTTTAACTGGCCACAGTCGCTCTCCTCTACTCGTCGTTTGTTAATGAATTCATCGCTGTGTGACACAGCGGTTACATCTTGTCAATCAACAAACATGTTGATTGACATATTTCACCAACCTTCAGTCAAACTATTTTTCAGCCCTCAAAGCATTGCTACGGTTTGTGAATAACTGAAATTGTTAGCGGAGATTCTTGTCTGGTCATGCCCTGCCTTCTCTCAGCATGACTGAGGTCTGCCTCATTACACAATGGTTAGAAGAATTTCTGTTTCAGTCTTTGTCATGGCTTTAGGTGTTGTTGCAACACTTTTCCTGCCTTTCATCATTAAAACTCTACAACTCCAGCAGCTGACACTGTATGAAAGTTTGAAGAAATAATGTGATTATAACTTCTGCAACTTAAATGCCAAAGCATAACTTTGTATGGACTTACTGCTAGTAAAAATGATCATGTACAGGGTGCACCCTTCACTTCTTTTCAAAAGACAATAAGTGTCTCTTTTGAGCACCTGATGCTGATAGAAAGAAGTACTGGAGCTAAACTAAAGTGTTATTGATTTGGCTTGTTTTATGCACACACCTCCTGATCTTATACCTGATCTTACCTTCAATTGAATTTAATCAGATATGGTTGTTGTTTTTTTTGTTTGTTTGTTTCAAAAAGGACCAAATCAAGAGTTATGGTCAAACAAAATCCACAGCATTCATAAAAGTCATTCTTTCATAAATTCCAATTGACTATTGGCTTAAAGACGTAATATTCAGACTCTGAATATTACTGATGAAAATTTAAGGCTTTCGTTGTCTCAATTGACATCAGTTGTAGACTGTTGCCTCAATTTTTTTTTCATGCATGTTTGAAAAAAATAAAATCCTTTAATCTTCTATGCAACCAATCCTCCTCAGAGCTGCTTCTGCCTCACACACCAGCCCTCCCCTACCACTGCCCTACTCAGCTCCTTCAGACTAGCCAGCAACAATTAGCAAACACCTGATTAAACTCTACATCTACTGAGCTCATTGTAGGGACTATTTCTCAGTGCAACACTGGTAAAACCATTGCTAAAGGGCTAATAGAGGAGCCATGTTGTGATGACTTCCTGAAGGTGGAGTCCCAGTAAGAGCAGAAGTTTCTTAAAGAGATAGAGGCCCAATTTAAATTAAGTCAAATTCTTTTAAGTCATATTTGATATATAACCTTTTTTTATAACAACTGAAGGGAACGGTTATTTAATTGTGCTATAAAATGTGCTTGGAAAATACATACTTTTCATTAAATACCCTTCAATGAAAGTGGAGTTTTGCTGTAACTGACATGCAAACGTCTCTGGGGTTGACAGTTAAGATACTTTAAGCTTCTTTCCCATGCCTTCCTGTTGAGTGAAAGTCACTGACCTGACGTGTGGTACATTATCAAGTTTAAAGTGAATGAACAAGCATGCTAGATTGCAAGGTGGGACCAGGTGGTACACATTTACCAGACAACTAGATCTGTAATGTCAGCAGTGCTCTCTTCACAGCTGTCCAACATGGAATGTGGAGTTTATGGGAGTTTATGGGTTTCATACCTGTTGTAAAACTGAAGATATGGTTAGCGCTGCTCTAATGCTGATTGGCTACGCACAGTGGAAGGTCCTTGAGAGCATTTTGATTAACATTACATCATGAATTATATGGACACTGCTGTGCTAGAAGACATCCTTTTTTGCCATCCCAGGGGAGAAACCTTCATGGCTGGTACTCTCAATCAGCTGTCAATCAGCCCAACACTCAGGAGCCATAAACATGAAATGCCTCGAAATTTGACTGACAGTTGCAGTCCTCAGAGACTGAATGCTAAATACTCAACAACATAAGTTAACTTTAACATTAGATGAAATGAAGCACTGGTATCAGAAGACGGAAAAAAATAAATGAGGTTTTACAAACCTCAGACTCTGACTTCATTTGAGCAAGCGGCAAGGACATAGTGGCAAGAAAATTCCCTTGTACTTTAGATATTTCAAATATTTAGACTTATTTCAACTCCATGCTTTGGACTCACAAAGAATCAGATAATGTTGATACCTGAGTGCTCTTTCTTTTGATCAATTTTACAAACTTAGTGTGAAGCCTGACTGTGATTTTTTGAACAGCTAATCTTTGAAGGGTTTTGAAAGATGAAATATTACGAGTGTCAGAGTTGACTGTCTTTGCAGTATTTTTTTTATAAATTTGAATTGGTTTGATTCAAAAGCTGGGTAGCTGTACGTAGTTTATCAAAAGCTCTGCTTGTTAATGACAGATTGGTGTTACACTAAGCAAATTATAATATCCCACTTTTAAAGAAAGTGGAAGATGATCTTGCCATATGGAAAGTCATACCCATGGGAAGGGTTGCTTCAATAAAAAGCTCTGTTTCCATGACAAATGTGTGTAAAGCTTTCCACTAAAGTAAAAAAACAAACAAACATAATTTCCCAGTTGCTGTCTTTTTGTTGAACAAAAACATGCAATTAAAATCACGCATGGATAAGCTTGTTTACGTGATACTTCATTAAAAACATGCTGCGTCATCGTCCTCTTACCACTTCCTATCGTCTTCGGCTTTTCTGCCGGTGGTAACATCTGTTTGTTTATCACGTGACTCATGATGCGAAAGAAGGGTTTTCATTGTAGTTTTGTGAAATGCATTAATTTTGATGCATCCAAAAAAAAAAGACCACACCAGTTCCAAAACTTTAATAACAAAACAAGATTTTTC